TATCTCAGGTCATTGCTAAGGTGTTGCTAGGCCACTGCTGTGGTATCTTAGATGCTTGCTAAGGTGTTGTTTGGCAATTGCTGCATCATCTCAGGTGGTTGCTAAGGTGTTGCTAGGCCATTGCTCTGGTATCTCAGGTGGTTGCTAAGTTGATGTTAGGCCATTGCTATGGTGTTCCAGGTGGTTGCTAACGTGATGCCAGGCCGTTGCTTTGGTGTCCCAGGTGGTTCCTAAGGTGTTACTAGGCCATTGCTATGGTGTCCCAGGTGGTTGCTAACGTGATGCTAAGCCATTGCTGTGGTATCTCAGGTGGTGGCTAAGGTGTTGCTAGGCCATTGCAATGATATTCCAGGTGGTTGCTAAGGTTTTGCTAGGCTGTTGCTATGGTATCCACGTAGATGCTAAAGTGTTGCTAGGCCATGCTATGATGTCCCAGGTGGTTGCTAAGGTGTTGTTAGGGCATTGCTAAGGTATCCCATGTGTTTGCCTGTGTTATTGTGTCATTTTATGAGTGCAGTTAATAGAAAATGAACAAAATGTGTAATTTGCTCAAGAGTGGTCAGATTTTACACAACTGCATCAAATCATCTTTTATCTGGAACCGAATGAAGTATTTAGAACGTGTACCTTCTTTAGAATCAGGTAAGACACGGAAGCGTTAGCATCAATGATGATGGTAGCAATCTTATCATCGCGGATCTCCTTGAGCAGGGAGGTGGGGTCGAGGTTGTCGTCCAGCATCCTGACTGACAGCGTCTCCCTGGAGATCAGAAAGCGCCTCACCAGCTCCTCCAATCGCAGCAGACCTGCGGAGACGAGTGGGCGGGATTAAAGATCTCGCACAAGTGTGTGTATGTCAGTATGCATGTGTGCTAAATGTAAATAAGTGGCTGCGTTCTCGTGGGAGCGCGTACGGAGAGAGAGAGCCGGTGAACCCAGCGCCAAACTTTAATTAGTTTCAGGGAGAAGAGAAATCAATGCACTCGTTTACACACTCTCATTCTCTCTCTCTCTCTCGCTCTACCTCTCGCTCTACCTCTCTCTCTCCAGCTCCCCCAGAACTTCTCCCCTCCCTCTCTTTCACTCTCTCTCTCTCTCTCTCACTCATTCCCTCAGAAACAGCCCCCCACCCTCCAAACACATCTCCCTGGATTTCATTCCCTCCATCTTTCACCCTTTAGTACTTTTCATTCCATCTCTCAGCTCTTGCTCTCCCTCATTCTCTCTCTCACTCGCTCTCCCTGGAACCTCTGTGATTTCATGCTAGTTCCAGTATTAATAATGCCTCTATCCAAATCTCTCTCTCTCTCTCTCTCTCTCTCTCTCTCTCTCACTCTATCTTTGAAACTTTTGTGATTACATGCTACTACTAGTAGGCCTATTAATAATCTCTCTCTCTCTCTTTCTCTCTCTCTCTCTCTCTCTCTCTCTCTCTCTCTCTCTCTCATTCTTTCACACTGTTTCTCTCTTATTCCACAACGAAAAGAGAACATAATGAACTGCAGAGAGAGCTCCCTGCTGCCACAGTAACACATTCTAACAGTGTGGAACCAGGTGCTATAAGAGCACATACCACCATTCTTAAAGGGCAACTCCACCAATTTTTAGAAATTTCTGCAAATTAAATGGTCATTCAGAGTGGTTGGGTGTGAAATGCTTCAGAATTGTTCACAGTGGCGGTGATAGAAACTAGACATCCACCTCTAAAAGCTCCCTCACTGAAAGCTAAAGTGAGTGTCAATTTGAGCTTTCTGGCAAGCGTGTGGCGATTTAGCACAATGCTAACAGCAGCTTCTTCCAATTCATAAGAACATCTCTCAAAGTAAGTCACAGTTTCTACAGTAACAACAGTAAGAGCATGGAAAATAGATGCACACTGCAAAAAATTATATCGCAGCAAGCGAAGCATCCTTAATTTAGCCAATATATCTAATATTTCTCATAAAGAGGTTGTTCTAAGAGTATTATAACAATGATTGCACTTCTTTTGAGTGTTATTAAGACTTATTTGCTAATATTATTAGCAAAATTACCTGCATTATTTCTTTAAATGACCTGCCAATGAAATATGACACTTTTGTAAAAAACAAGCACAAATGTGTAAAAATAGGTTGAATAATCTTATAATATTCTTAAAACTCATAATGAGATATTAAATGCATTGACTGGTTTAAACACACTGATCAGGCATAACATTATGACCACCTCCTTGTTTCTACGCTCATTGTCCATTTTATCAGCTCCACTTACTATATAGGTGCACTTTGTAGTTCTACAGTTACAGACTGTAGTCCATCTGTTTCTCTGTGTACTTTGTTAGCCCCCTTTTACCCTGTTCTTCAGTGGTCAGGACCCCCATGGACCCTCACAGAGCAGGTACTATTTGGGTGGTGGATCATTCTTAGCACTGCAGTAATGCTGATGTGGTGGTGGTGTGTTAATGTGTGTTGTGCTGGTGCGAGTAGATCAAACACAGCAGTGCTGCTGGAGTTTTTAAACACTGTGTCAACTCACTGTCCACTCTATTAGACACTCCTACCTTGTCAGTCCACCTTGTAGATGTAAAGTCAGAGACGATAGCTCATCTGCTGCTGCACAGTTTGTGTTGGTCATCCTCTAGTCCTTCATCAGTGGTCACAGGACGCTGCCCACAGGACGCTGTTGGCTGGATATTTTTGGTTGGTGGACTATTCTCAGTCCAGCAGTGACACTGAGGTGTTTAAAAACTCCAGCAGCACTGCTGTGTCTGATCCACTCAGACCAGCACAACACACACTGACACACCACCACCACGTCAGTGTTACTGCAGTGCTGAGAATGATCCACCACCCAAATAGTACCTGCTCTGCGAGGGTCCATGGGGGTCCTGACCCCTGAAGAACAGGGTAAAAGGGGGCTAACAAAGTATGCAGAGAAACAGATGGACTACAGTCTGTAACTGTAGAACTACAAAGTGCACCTATATAGTAAGTGGAGCTGATAAAATGGACAATGAGTGTAGAAACAAGGAGGTGGTCAGAATGTTATGCCTGATCGGTGTATATTTGCTAGGATATATATATATTTTTGCAGTTCATTTAAAAAATGTCTTTCTCCGTGCATCTTGGGTTCTCACATGTGGATGAGCTGTGATGTGGCCTTTAATTGACCCCATCCATTCTCCCCCCACAAAGCTGGACAAGCTGTACAGAACACTGACAAAAACCCCATACAACCTAATGATAAAATGTAGCACACAAGTCATTACCAACGTTATTATTTTTGGATTGGTAGGAGTGTGAAAGGTCACACTGTTAGGATAGATTGGACTTTTTTGCCTTACATCTACAGCAATCATTCACGATTAAATAGTCTCCCAATTTTATAGAGTGGCCATGTACTAGCTTTTCAAAGAGAAAAAGCTGAAACTATATTAATAACAGCCTCAAAAACTATGTTTTTTTTTCAGTATTTACTGTGTCCACTCTCGACCTTTATTATAACCTCCATTCACGAGTTTCGCTCTCTGTTTCTCAAAGGGATATTTTTCCACACCTCCAAAGTTCAGTCTTAGAAGCTGGTTGATCATTTTCTGAAGTAATCAAACACATTCAGTGGTGTTGAGGTCTGGACTCCGGCGTGGTCAGTCCATCGTTCAGCTTCTTTGTTTGATGTGTCCGTCTCCTTTTCTCACTGAGGTTCTTCTTGAACAGCTACACATCCTTTCAGACCCACAGGGCTGAGTCGTCTTCTCACGGTGGAAGGATGGACAGAAACACCTGTGGATGTTTTCAGATCTGATCAGCTTGATTTTCTCCTCTCTCTCAGAGATGAAAGCTTTAAGTGCTGTTAATCTGATGGGGGCAGTTTTGGTGTCGACCAGCTCTTCCAGGTGGTTGTTAGGAGCCCCTTTTTCTCTGTAGCTCTTAACCAGTTTTGAAAACTCCAGTTTTTCCACTTGACTTTCTCATGCTCTTGTATCTAATCTCCTGGAAAATGAATAACTTGTACTTAACAGTCGTTTTGACTGGAAATTAAACAAACGAAGGGTGACTTCAGCACAGCGGCGTATCTGAGCAGTGGCCATATTCCGCTCGATTAGATCAGATGTATAATGCTCTCCTGAGCTCATCTGGACTAACAAAGAGACCAAGCAGAGTGTGCAGAATCAGAAGTGATCGCCAGCGTGTCCAATCAGAGGGCAGATTAATGACGGGCCAGTAATGAGAAATAAATGAACATATTCTCATTAATTACTGACCGTGCCTGAAACGCGCGGGCAAACCGATCTAACAAAGCGCTTCTAACAAAGCGGGTGCGCTGGCCTCTCCCTCTATCTCCTGCCACCATTTTAAATGAGCTTGATGAGTGGCAAGTTGCACCTACTCTGCTGCCATGGCAACCATAGTGCAGCCAACTAGGTCAGAGCCGAGCTGTATGAAGCGATGCCCTCACACATGCACATGCATAGTTACACGAACGTTTCTATGGCAGTAATGCACCACCACACCTGTGTACACATGTACGCATTACTGCAGCTAGCACACAGTACAAGCTGGACAGAGCAGTGACTGACCACTAGGATAAGCACCCAAGCATCGTACATGACGCACTGCTGTGCAGGGGTGTTCCACTACTGTGGTCTGGCAGAACTGAGGGGGTGGGGGGGGTGGGGCTGATGGACTGAGGACCCCCACAGGACCACCACAGAGCAGGTATAATGTGGGTGGTGGATCATTCTCAGCAGTGACACTGAAGTGGTGATGGTGTGTTAGTGTGTGTTGCGCTGGTCTGAGTGGATCAGACACAGCAGTGCTGCTGGAGTTTTTAAACACTCACTGTCCACTCACTGTCCACTCTATTAGACACTCCTACCTTATTGGTCCACCTTGTAGATATAAAGTGAGACAACAGCTCATCTGCTGCTGCACAGTTTGTGTTGGTCATCCTCTAGTCCTTCATCAGTGGTCACAGGACGCTGCCCACAGGACACTATCGGCTGGATATTTTTGGTTCTCAGTCCAGCAGCGACACTGAGGTGAGTCTGATCCACTCGCACCAGCACATCAGACTCTAACCCCCGAGTTTCAACTTGTGAAATTAATACTTTTTATTTCTTTTAAAGTGAAGTTGAAAATTTTAGATTTATTTATAAATAAGCCTTATTTTAGCCACACCTCTGCATTTTAGAGCAGGAAGTGAGGCTGCATCCCTGTCCCTCATGGCCACATGGTCAGCAGTTAGATCCCATTGTTTTCAAGCAAATGTGTCCCAAAGTCTGAAACTCAGTGTGGAACATTAAAAATTGTCATTTTCAAAATGCAAATTTTCTGCAGTTAAGTACTCTTTAATATTGTTAATAAATTTTATGATGTAAAGCTGTGTTTTCTCGCCAGTTACTGTAGTAATTTCTGTTTACCTGCTTGTGTTAAGCATGTTTACGGCCTTACTGTGAATTATAAAAATGAACAAAACTCCACCGTGCAGTCGGACACAGTGGGCAGCCACTCTAAACGACAGGTGTTCCCCGCATAATCCAGCTACACAGTATGGCTACACGGTGAGTTTTTGTTCTTTTATAGTTCACAGTAAGACCTGCTGTGCCTTAAATCGCACTGACAGGTCTGAATTGCCTTAATGAAGAGCTGGATGTGGTTTGAATGGGCTGAGAGACGTTTTGAGGATGTATTTATGGAGATTTGGGTGACTATTGACTTCTAGCGCTGTGGTTTCCAACCCTGGTCCTGGAGAGTGGAGCCTCCTGTAGAGCTTAGTTCCAACCGCAATCTGCCAAACCTGCTCTGGTTAATAAACCTCTTCCCAAGTCCCTGATTGGCTGGACCAGATGTATTAAGGTTAAGTAAGGGGCGGGGCTGCTTACTGGATACAGGTTGGAACTAAACTCTGTAGGAAGGTAGCTCTCCAGGATCAGGGCTGGAGACCACTGCTCCAGGGTTTGTTAGCAATGTTAGCCTCCTAGCACCAGCGCTAAAGTAGTGGCATTTGGACACCAAACATGTCTTAGCTGGTCAACTAAATCTGAGCTAAGTGGAAAATTGTGTGAACTAGATTTTTAATAGTAATTTGGTGAAATTTAAGCCTCCACTGCCTGTTAGCTACATTAGCCTTGTAGCTTGAGTGCTAAAACTAAAACAGCAAACTTCAGACACCAAACATGTCTTAACTGGTCAACTAAATTTGGGGTAAAATTGTGTAAATTGGATTTTTCGGCAGACAAAGTGAGTAATTTGGTGAAAAATAAGCTTCCACCGGCTATTAGTTAGCTATATTAGCCTCATAGCTCCAGTGCTAAAAGCAAACTTCAGACACCAAACATGTCTTAGGTGGTCAACTAAATCTAGGGTAAGTGGAAAATTTTGTGAGCTACATTTTTTGGCTGACTAAGTGAGTAATTTGGTGCAGTATAAGCTTCCACTGCCTCTTAGCTACATTCGCCTCGTAGCTCGAGTCCTAAAACTAAGGAAGTGAACTTCAGACACCAAACATGTCTCAGCTGGTCAGCTAAATTTGGGGTAAAATTGTGTAAATCAGATTTTTTGCCAGACTAAGTGAGTAATTTGGTGAAAATCATTTCATTGCTAGGTGCACCGAGTATGACTATGTATGTGATAAATAAAACTTTGAAAAATAAGCTTCCACTGCCTGTTAGCTACATTAGCCTCGTAGCTCCAGTGCTAAAACTGAAACAGCAAACTTCAGACACCAAACATGTCTTAGCTGGTCAACTAAATCTGGGGTAAGTGGAAAATCGTGTAAATTGGATTTTTCGGCAGACTGAGTAATTTGGCGAAATATAAGCTTCCACTGCCTGCTAGCTACATTAGCCTCATAGCTCCAGTGCTAAAACTAAAACAGCAAACATCAGACACCAAATATGTCTTAACTGGTCAACCAAATCTAGAGTAAGTGGAAAATTGTGTAAATTAGATTTATTTTTCGCCAGACTAAGTGAGCAATAATTTAGGCACGCGGTTTGCACTCTGCTGTTTGGTGAAGTACAAGCTTCCACTGACTGTTAGCTACGTTAGCCTCGTAGCTTCAGTGCTAAAAGCAAACTTTAGCAAGCTACATTAGGCTACATTGCTAAAACTGGGGTAAGAAGTAGAGATTACATGATACACCTTTTTCTTTTCTAATACCTTGAGTATTGTTTGACACCAGCACTGATTTGAAAATTTCACTGTAGATGAGCATATAAAAGGTAGGCCATCACATTCTAACAACGCTAAAGCTTTTTTCCCTCTTTTCTTTCCTTGGTACCAATATGCCATCTTTGATAGAACTTGTCAGGGATGGACTGGCCATCAGGAGGACCAGGACAATTCCAGTGGGCCGCTGAGAGAGTGAGAAAGAGAGAAATGCATGGCTGTTTCTAATGTAGTCCTTAATAAAATGAATGGAGACCGCCCGGGACATGTGCTGGGTGAATATTGGACACATCTAGACATGTTAGTGGTCCACTGCATTCTCAGAGTGTGGCCATTAGCCAGTCATACAAATGCTGTCAGCCCCAGAACAAAGCATAATGATAAGAGCCAGGAAACCGTGAAGGCTAGCTAGGGAGAGATGGAGAAAACCTCCAAAAGTGTTCAATTCAACCAGACAGAATGAAATGAAGAAATGAAAGTAAATTATTTTTGTTTGGATCTGAGTGAGAAACCGCAGGGCCAAAAGAGCAGAAGGGGTAAGTTAGCCAGTTCATTCACACTGCTTGTACACTAAGGCTACAGATAGCTAACTTAAAGGGGAATTCCACCAATTTTTCAAAATCTCTAAATAATTCAGTGTTTGATATGTAAATAGAGTCATTCAGGGTGGTTTGGTGTGAAATGGTTGGTTGTAGAGACTCAGATTTCTTTACAGTGGTGGTGATAGGAACCAGGGGTCGCCATGACTACAACACAAATATAGTCATTTTATTTACTATCCAAAACCACCAGTGAACCGACACGAGTCTTCTGAGTTTATATTTGTAATGTTGATGATGGCAAAATAGTCATAAATCTGAAAAAACAAACTGTCTTTAGGGACTATTTTACCTTACAACACCCTGCAGGTATCCCTCCGCCATGAATGGATTACAGTAAAAGGATTAAAATACATTTTAAGCCCAAACTTTATTAACTATCATAGAACAATGTGTCAGACATCACGGAGTGTATTCTTAACCCTTTCATGTAATACCATTCTGAAAGGGAGCTTAAACTTGTCAGACGTCTGGTTCCTATCACCACCACTTCGATAGTTTTTCTAGAATGGAGCTTTTCACACCAAACCACTCTGAACGACTGTTTACTTTTCAACCATTTAATTATGTAGAATTTTTGAGAAACTGGTGGAGTTCTCCTGTAATGTTAATGTTCACCAACTGTAAGCAGTCCAGGTGGGTGTGGTGGGGGAGATTATAGGGTGGGTGATGTGGGTGTCACTGTCGTTGTAGTGGACTGGCCCAGACAAAAGTCTAGGGCTGAATTTTGTTCCCAGTCCAGCTCTGAACTGTGTAATTTGGATTTTTGAGCAAACCACCGTTTTAATGTTGCTTATCAATGATTCTTAAAGTCTGTGCACTTAATAACCTTGCTCTCTCTCTCTCTCTCTCTCTCTCTCTCTCTCACTACAGTCATTCAGCTGGGACGGCTCACTGACGGTGCTCCTGGGCAGACCAGACTGGCCGATCAAGCGAGTAAAGATCACAGACTTACACTCTGCCTTGGCGCAGACCAGACTAGCCGATGGATAGCTGAAGGAGCGTAGGATGGCTCCCACAGCAAGGCTCAGATCCTCGTTGCTAGGATACAGAGTGACGGATGCGAAGCGCAGGTAAGGTAACCGTGGAGTCTCCTCAGGACCGATCTTTACATGAGGGATCTGGGAGAGAGAAAGAGAGGGAACGTTCAGTTCAGACAGCAAGCAAAAAAAAACTACACTCAATCAAACATCACATTATGCACCAGCTCACCTCCTTCTCCCCACAGATGTGACTGACAGTAGACCCTGAGGCAGGGCTGGAGGCGGGGCCAATCACAGAGACCACGCCCTTCGGCAGAATCTGGCACACTAAAAGAAAACACAATGCAAATGTCTCTCTTTCTTAAACCCTTCTTTCAGTCCACTCCCTTCCCTTTGTTAAAACATTATACAGTCTATTCCAGTCGTCTGATCTTTCTTCTCTTGTTCTGGATCCTCTTCTGAACTCAAATGCAAATAAAAACAAAAAAAAAGATTTATAAATCTGCTTTGACCTGTATTTGTGCAAAAGAAATACAAAGACAATATATGTAGTGCTTTATCTTGTCAACTTCATTGGTTTTTGTAAACATACACTCATTTTGAAACTGATGCCTGCAGCACATTTCCAAAAAAAAATTGGAACAGGGGCAATTTAAGACTAGGAACGTTGTGAAATATATAAAAAAAATCATAAACAGGTGATGCAATCACGCTTAGGTATAAAAGCAGCATCTAGGAAAGGCTGAGTCCTTTAAAAGTGAGGATGGGTCAAGGCTCAGCACTTTGCCAAAAATGCCTCAGCAAAAGATCCAACAGTTTAAAAACAACACTTCAATGAGCGACTTCAAAGATTTTAGGTCTTTTAAGTATTTCACCCTCTACAATGCATAATATCATATAAAGATTCAGTGAATCTGGCAAAATCTCTGTATGATGAGTCCACCTTTCAGATTGCTTTCAAACTGCCATTTCAACATAGAGGGTCTATCACTGTATAGCCCAGGGGTCGCAACCCAAATGTTAAGAAGAGCCATTTTGTCCTTTCAACAAAAATCAAACCACCTTGGGAGCCTCAACATTTTATGTCAATTTTACCGTCTTGGCTGTAAATATGTCTCAGTATGTACTGATGTCCTAGTTGAGGCTAAAAAATATAATATAAACGAAAACGCAGACTTACTTTGCTCTGCTTTAAGCTTTAGCTAAGCTATAGCTGCTTTTCTCGCATCTCCGGCAGGAAACAAAAGTGGAATAGTTTCTTGTAAAATGTCTCGATATTTTCAGAGGCTGAAGTCGCTTCTCATTTGCCAGCTTCTTGTTCGAATTTTCTCATTCAAGCTTAAATGGCACCTAAAACGCCAGAATGTAAGTGCTGCACCATTTAAAGTGTAATGGGGAAAAAAACTAGAAACTGACTTCATCTTAACAATTTTTTACTTTTGGACAGTTTCTTGCTGCAGATTAAACATATCAGGAAACCAGCTGGAGTGATTATAAATGCAAATAAATCCATTCGTCTCCAGATTATTGATGCTCCTCTTAAATCTTTCTCTTTGCCTTTTCGTTAGCTACTAACTAGGTGAGACTGTTTTCTACATTTCAGAGTTAAAGGTTGGTGCACAAGATGGGGGAAGCATTGTGCCCATCTCTCCTTCTTGACACACATTGTCAACAAGGAGAGATGGTTGAGAAACAGCTTAAGAGGAGAAGATCTGAAGAAGCAAGAAGTTCTTCGATCAAGCAAGAGCGAAGAGCTGTGTAAACACTAGGGAGGTGTTCTAAAAGCGGAGAGACTTAGACCTATGAGAGAAGATGAGGCTAAATTTGGCTTCCTATTTGCCAGCTTCTTGTTAAAATTGTCCCATTCCATCTTAAAAAAGGCACCAGAATGTAACTGCTGCACCATTTAAGGTGGAACGGGAAAGGAAGCTGGCGAATAAAAAGTTGATTTCAGCTTCATCGAGAGTTTGAAAAGAGAGTTTAAATCTAAAAAGGATAATCAACTTAATGACCATTTTGACTAGAAATTATATACATGAAAAGGTGGTCTCTGACTTCTGCACAGCACTGTATATTTAAACCCCCGCTGTGAAAGTTTTGATATATACAATAACCAAAAATATTAATATCAAGTGATTCCAAACTGTGCGAAAATGTGACTCACTGGTGTCTGTGGTCTCGTACTGAGAGTCTTTCTGCAGCTCAAAGACGTCTACGTCCACTCGCGCACGAGCTGGTCCCTCCATCACGCTGTTGATGTTCTCACGTGCTAACGCTAGAGCTAACCGCTCTCCACGGCCACACGCGGAGCGGTCATCCAGAATCGCCGCTGAAGAGTGAGAGGGGGAAAAGGGACAGAGACAGACAACAGATGCCACTTACTCCACAGCAGTGTCAATGACTCTTGAATGCCAATCCGGAAAGGGTCCTGATACAAACTCTCGTGGTCAATGTGGTGGCAGGAAAAGCCTCCTGGCAAAGGCCGAAGGCAATGAACGGAGCTTCAGGTCATGGAGTACAATGTTGGGGTCTGGTTTAACACCTGCTTCCACATTGGGCTTAAATGACAGCTCTGTCTTTTGCATGAGACAGAACTGGCACTGCCTTCTCCCTCTTTACGGCGCAGTCTGGCAGCTGTCTATCCGGCTTACATGAGAAGCGCAATTTATATCAATGTCAAACCGAAGCCAGTTGTTTAGCAAAGTAATAGCTGGAGGCTACTCTGCCTGTTTGTTTTCCTGTTGCATTTATTTGGCATGAAACCTTTTTTCCTGCTGTGGTGGTTTTATAATGTTGCTGTTCTTGAACCTACACCGGTCAGCCATATTTATCAGCTCCACTGACCATAAAGGAGCACTTGTAGTTCTACAGTTACAGAGGGTGGTCCATCTGTTTCTCTGCATACTTTGTTAGCCTGTTCTTCAATGGTCAGGACCCCCACAGGACCACCACAGAGCAGGTATTATTTGGGTGGTGGATTATTCTCAGCAGTGACACTGGTGTGGTGGTGGTGTGTTAGTGTGTGTTGCGCTGGTGCGAGTGGATCAGACACAGCAGTGCTGCTGGAGTTTTTAAACACTGTGTCCACTCACTGTCCACTCTATTAGACACTCCTACCTTGTTGGTCTACCTTGTAGATGAAAATCAGAGATGATAGCTCAGCAGTTTGTGTTGGTCATCCTCTAGTCCTTCATCAGTGGTCACAGGCTGGATATTTTTGGTTCTCAGTCCAGCAGCAACACTGAGGTGTTTAAAACTCCAGCAGCACTGCTCTGTCTGATCCACTCGCACCAGCGCAACACACACTAACACACCACCACCACGTCAGTGTCACTGCTGAGAATGATCCACCGCCAAATCTGGGGTGGGGTTCTGTGGGGGTCCTGACCATTGAAGAACAGTGTAACAAAGTATGCAGAGAAACAGATGGACTACAGTCTGTAATTGTAGAACTACAAAGTGCACCTATATGGTCAGTAGAGCTGATAAAATGGACAGTGAGTGTAGAAACAAGGAGGTGGTTTTAATGTTAAATATCTTCAAACTGTTTACATTTAAATACAGGTCATTAGATCATGAAGTGTCCAGTGAGACTATATGCTGGACAAAAGCTTTAATGATTTAAACAATCAGGTCAGCATTGACTCACCCATCCGTACGGACGACAGGACAGAGGGCTGGCTGAGGGCAGAGGGCGGCATGGTAACCACGGTAACTAGCAGGAAGTGCAAGTGAATCGACAGCAGCAGCAGCGCTGGCAGTTCCGGCATCTTCTACTGCTCCTCATGGAGATGCCGTCTGCTGCCTATAGCACCCCCTGTAGGACAGATTAATGTTAACGTTATTCGCTTTTACACACTGTACTGTTCATCATGCAGACACTGTCCTCAACATAACAAGCTAAAAGATTATAATTTACCAAAGCTAGGTTTCCATAATGCCAAGCTGTGAGGGTTAAGGCTTGCGCTTGCTTCCTCAGAGACACCACATCTTTCCAAACTGCCGTAAACTAACTGGACAGCTCAACACGCTTGGAGGAGAATGCTAACTCTATTACATCAGTTAACAGACGACGGCACAACAGGGCCTCTCCACAATAGAGTCACGTTCTAACACTGTTCCTCATGTAGTCTGCTGCCTATAGCACTGAATACTCATGTATATGAATAACAGCTGTCTACATTCACACATTATGCTCAAAAGCCTCCCAACAAAACTCGCCCTTAATCTCCCAATGAGAGGTTACAGTTCATTCGCATTAAGATAAATTTACATTAACTTTGCATCGCATTCAATGAGCGGTTGCTCGTGAAAATAATTTAAAGAGCTGCAGATTAACCTTTTTGCATTGCCTGTCAGAGGTCAGATACAGTCGGAGAATTAATTTGGAAAAAAGCACCATCACAAGCTAATATGGATGTGAGAGGATTCTGTACTGTGTTTCAAAGTCTAACTAGAGTGAATGTATAGACCTTGTCAGGGAGGAGCCTTTGGGTATTTCAGTGCCAGCCCCAAATGCTTTTTTTTCATTTTAGGTTTACAGTGAGTGTGTTTACGGATTGCTACAGTTATCTGATTATTCAAACGGTCGTGTAAGCAGCACAATCCGATCTAGAAATGTAAGAGTAAGAAATCTGATAAAGAGAGCTGAGATTTCTCAGTGCATGTGAACTCTTACTCTGATTTCTTTCGGATTTCTCAGTCTGCGCATGAGTGCAAACAGACCAGAAATAAGCGAGCGGCATTGCGAGACGCAGCAAAACACTTTTGGAGCGGCGATGAAACCAAATACATAATTGACGAATCGAAGAATTTTAATATTCTTCATCTTCTAGATGATGTATGTTCATAGTTTTAGGAAAAGTGGCGTGATGTTTTTTGAAGTTTGAGTTTTACATTATGTTTGCGTCTTCTGTGAGTTTATTGGCTGGTTTCAAAGCAGAAATCCAATTACTGCCTGACTCATGTAGACCTGGAGTTTCCGCATTATCTTATTACTCAAGTGCATATAAACGTGTTGATCAGATTACTGACAAAATCTGATTTTCTGCAGTTATCGGATTATTACATGCAGATAAACACACTCAGTGCACGTTCCTTTACTACTATTGTAAGCTCTCTCAGGATCCATCAGCCCCCCTTGAGACTCCTCCGCATGACGAAGGCAGTGATGAGAGATGTCAAGTTAGACATGGACTTATGTTCCTTTTTTCATAAAAGAGGCTGAGGTTGTTGAAAAAGTGCCTCAATTTGAGATATTTCAGGTCAGTGAATGGCAAGGCAGGACTACAGCTGTTAGCCAGCTAGACATATAAGTTCTCTAGCTAAAAGAGCATTACTTCAATGTTAAGTATACCCAAAGTCGGTTTAAGCGAGCCTGGCTACTTCCTATTTCTCCCGTTATATCAAAAACATTACTTCAAGTATTCAGATGGTCCAGAACTCTGCTGCTCGTCTTCTCACTCATACTCGCTGTCACAACCACATCACACCTGTCCTCCATGATCTCCACTGGCTTCATGTGAAGTACTGCACTTCAAAATTCCTCTGCACACTTATAAAGCTCTTAACAACCTTATTCCGCCCCCCGCTACCTGTCCAAACTTCACCCTGTTTTCTTCTCTGTCGTCTGCTTCCGGCATTCCTGTTTGTCTTCTTGCGTTTCGTTACAATATTAAAATCAATTAATTCATCAGTAAATATAATTAAAAAAAGGGGGGGGCAGTCATGGGCTGAAGGTTAGGGAACCAGCCTTGTGACTGGAAGATCGCCGGTTTGATCCCCTGAGCCGACAGTACGTGAATGAAGTGCCCTTGAGCAAGACACCAAACCCCCAACTGCGCCGTGGATAGGGGTGCCCACCACTCCGGGCAATGTGCTCACTGCCCCCTATGTGTGTGTATGTGGTGTTTCACTGCACAAATGGGTTAAAATGCAGAGTCACTTAACTAACTAACTAAATAAAATCTCCTCCATACAAAATGATCCCCAAAGACCCCCACAGAAATGGTCTGGGCTAAACCCACAGTGTCTTTAGATCCTAGCAACGCCCCAAGTGAAGGTCAGTTTGAGGCTCATTTATATTCCCTTTACATATGAAAAAGAACACGTCTGTTTCAAACGATGTAACTGTCACCGCCCACATACTTCCATGCGTCCTTTACATTAGCAAGGATGTTAAGCAGTACAACCGCTAGAGGGCAGTCCAGAGTAAAAAGTTTCTGACAACAACAAACATGGTGGCAATGAAGGAGGTCATAATAATGTACCAACTACAAAAGAGGCACCAGTTCAGACTGTGGTGATCTGTAAGATCAAATAAAATTTGATTTAAATACTTCAAATACATTAAATACGGAGAATTCTTTTGACTTGTATTACGAATGTCTTGTGTGAACTAGCCACACTGCTCCTACGGCTGCTCTGTTTCGTTCATATCCGTACACTTTCAGAGAAGGTGCACAAATACGGATGAAATGACCACAGAGAACAGAAATCTCCGTCCATATCCGTATTTAACATTGAGCATTAATGAGCCCTTAGACCCATCAGCATCACACCATTAAAGCATAGCCTGCATTTTTGTTTGTCTGGAGGAGTGACGTTTCAGAACACCGCTGGTTAGAACCAGGCCTGTACCATCCTATGGGTTTTAACTGGGGTGTGCCCAGGGGTCTGAGCCACTAGGGGGCCCCTGTGAGCCATCATGGGAAAATCTAAACAGCTGTTGTGACTCGCGGTGGGAGCTTTACTAGCAGCACAGTGGGAAAAATGAACAGATACCGTGTCCTAACAGCAAGCGACAACAAAATGAAAATGCTTCCATTATAATCAATGAGGATGTCTACACCAGCTGCCGTGCTGTTTTTGACGGACGCTTCGTTTCTGACTCTGCAAGTCTACCTTAAAATGGATGAGACGGAGTCTTCCATGACGTGGAGCAGAGAGGGATCTCTACGACCCCTACGGAGAACAATTTGGAGAGAAACAGCCAGAATGCTGGAAGTTAGAGGTGAAAATGGCTTATTCTGTGCTAGATAACTAGTGAGGTTAGCTAAGTAAAGATACAAGTTAGAATAACTGAGCTCCTAAAAAAGGTAGCCCAATAGGGGCCCACCAAACATTTGTGCCCAGGGGCCCACAACTTGATGATCCGGGCCTGGTTTATGACTGAGCAAAAACGAATGAAAGGAACACTGCAGCCTGCAGTTAGTGTATGTGGTAGGCCGTATCCATACGAATTAGAGCAATCAACCAAAAAAAAACAAAAGCTGACCGTTTTGAAACTGACAAACTTGACCCGTCGGTTTGCTGAGGCCGCTGAAGCCAGGTGGTTTTCCTGCATGGCTGCCAGGCGCTCTCTGTTGTCATATGGCAGTCTATTCCATAAAGCCTCCACTCCAAATCTTGTCTCCTCAAATACACAACGAAGGTCAACACAGATGTCCGCTGACATCTGTCACAACAACACATCGCGCACATACGCGGTGCAAACAGCAGTGACGGCTTTAGCGGAAAAACACTATTCAAACAAGGACTCGATAGCCTGGAGAATCATGTTTTCCTCTCTGTCGCGGAGTCCCACCGCTAACTGCAAAAAAATGCGCTAAAGAACGGAGGACATGTGCTAATTAGCGCAGGTTTTCGCATTTGAATGGGACGGGTCTGTCTGTATGTGACAGCTAGCGTAGTGCAGAGAGTACAGAGAATGCATGTAGATGAAAAACAGTGTCATCCAGTCAGTATACTGTACAGCTGTTCCACAAGGTCACCATGTTTGGTAAAGTAACTCAACAGCTCATCAGCTGGGCTAATATCTCGCTGGACGTGCCTCCAAATGACCTGTTTATGTTCTCAGAGCACTTTTGTGTGAAATGCAGTGTGGAAGGTTTTTGGTCATGCACCACATCTTTGGATCTGGTAGCACAGCTTCATTAACTGAAGGATACATTTTGCATACCTGCTAGAATTATACTAGCATTTTTCAACCTATTCTGTCTTTTGCATCTGTAGCATATGGTCAGTTATCCCAGACCAGGGATCGGCAACATGCGGCTACTATGTTCTGAAAAACGTATTGTATTGTATTGTGACATAATTTTTTATGAGATTGATACATATTGCCATATTTCCCAGCCCTGTTCCTAACACGCTGACACACCACCACCACGTCAGTGTCACTGCAGAGCTGAGAATGATCCACCACCCACTGACCTGCTCTGTGGGGCTCCTCTGGGGGTCCTGACCACTGAAAAACAGGGTACCTAAGTATCTAGAGAAACAGATGGACTACAGTCTGTAACTGCACCTGGACAAAGGAGGTTGACTTCATGAAGAGGCTGGTCAGTAGACATTAAGTGATGTGAGCTGTGGGTAGTGAGTGTTAGAGCTCCTATGACAGCCAAATGTCCGAGGTCGCACCCTCATAGTGACCTCTGACCTCGAACAGCAGCACGGGGAAATCATGTCAACACGTATTTACCCCTGAAGCCTGTTACTATGCGTAAAGACTCCACACAGCGACCTTCAGAGCGCAATCAAGATGTATTTCTCCCCTGGGATCAAAATCGCCCCTGATTTTCGATGCGTCAGCTGTGTGCGTTCGTGAATAAATGTGTGCTGTAGCGCCATCCTGACCAGATACACCTCCTTTGCTCCCGTCTTTTTTCTTCATTATGTGTCTGCGAGTGGGAGGGAGATACAGAGAGAGCGAGAGAGAATATCTGCTGCACACTTGGCAGTCTGCAGATCCTTTTTATGAGAGCAAGAA